TGTGTTAGGATTAGAATTTTCTTTTGGTACTAAATAAGCGAAATTAATATCAAGCCACGACGAATGTTTTGTACACAACTTATTTGTATTCCGTCCACACGCTTGCCATAATTTATGAAGATGGGAGCAAAAAGTAAAAATGGCAAAGGAAATATTATCGTGAACACTTGCTGAGGCTTTGGACTTGGACACTATTTTTTTTTATAGTAAGTTACAAGATTGGGCTTCTAAAGGTTTTTTACTTCCATTTTTCTTTAAAATCTCGAGAAGCTAAGGCGTAATACCTAATAAAAACCAAAATATATTGAAAATCCGCAATTCAACCCAATTGATATTTATCAAATTATAATCCTAATGAGTTGTAGAAATCAAAAACATAATACTTAAAAAAGTCAATTTTGACTATTTTTAAATAACTCCATACAAAGCGTTTAAACCTACCAAATCATACATAAATTAATTGTAATATCCTATAAAATAGGTTGGTTATCAACAAAAATGAAATCATTTTGTTAACATTTATAAAATTTAATAGTAGCATGAATCTGGAATCTTGTAAAATAATTTACTAAAATAGGGTATATATCGATTGTTCGCTGTTTAGCTGATAGCCTTATGTTAATATACTGTTGTTTTGACAGGTCGTGATCTAAAATAAAAGCTAAAGCTTCGTCTGGTGAATATGGAATAGGAGATTCGTACTCGGGTTTTTTGTTTATTTTTTTAATATTAGAGGGCTCAGTAGAATTGTTTGTGTCTTTTAAAATTTTAGCTTCTATCCTTTTACCAGTTGCTTGTAATTTATTCTGTGCAGCAAAAGTAAGCTCCGAAGTACTATAATTAGCACATAACTGTTAATACCTTACGTTTTTTACTTTTGTCTGAACAGTCAATAAATGATTTTGATGGTTTACCGGCAGATTTGTTGTCACTCACTTCGTCAATAAAACCGGACCATAAACTGAATTCATTATTTAGCCAGTCATAATTGGTTTCCAAAAATCTTAAAATTAAATATTAGTTTTAAAAAAATGTTTTATATAGTATGGTGAGAAATGGGATACACCTACCTATCATATTTACGACAACATTTTCCCCATTTCCTTGCAAGAACAATTGTGAAATTTTTTATATTACCCATAACATTTTCTTCAAATTTAGAGTTTCAATTTATGCCATTATACCGGGTTTTAATTACAGACATTAAATACATTATTGAATATTTATGAGTAGAATTTGATATTGAACCTCTAGCTTTTAACAAATCTTTATAGCTGAATGTAGCAGTAGCGTCATTCTCTATGCTAGAAGTTGCTATAAAAAAAGCAAAAAGATAAGTGTAAGTATATCTTATTCGAACTACTCTGATTTTATATATATGTACGATAGATATTTGAATTAATGTAATTTTAATATGTATATTTCAAAACTTACCTTCGTTGTATGCATCCATGATTATTTTGAAAAATATGTTAAGCGTGTGTATGTACTATTACAGCGTCTTATTGCATCAAGTGCAAGTTCGATAATGATAATGATATTAAGGTTTGCTTTACTAATCACAAGTTTTAAAATTATCACATTTTATAGCTTCGTTACTGTCATTTAAGCTTAAAAATAATGTTACGGCTGCTGGAGTTATTATTTTTAAGTACAATATAGTTAATAAATATTTCTTATCGCGTACAAAGTTCAACTGTCGCGTTGTATCAATCTACAGAAATATTAATTTTAAAAAAAGGCGCAAACCGCCGCAGGCGATTTTTTTTTAAAGATAATGTTCTACTATAAGATGTGTATAGTCGGTAAGAGTAACTATGAGTAACTACAGAGGTAAGGTCCATTTATTTCAAAAAACCAATACAATTTTATTAACTGTTTCAATTCAACCACATACAATACATTTTAAAAAATAGTAAAATAAAAAACAAAAATATCTAACTAGTAGTACTTTTTCTATACTAAATAATGAAAAAACAATCAAGCTTCTGCGATCATTCAATGATGAGATATAGTCAGTTGTATTTATATACATTTGTGCAATAATCAACCAAAAATACGTTTGTTTTGTACGCTTTTATTTTTTTTATAACTTTGTAATTCACGCAAATATTAACGAAAACATTTTTTTTTTTAACTTTTATGTTCCTTAGGTAGTATAAAATAGCATTGAGTTTATTTTGGATTTTTTAAAAATAGTTCAAAAATTGTATTTTATCCAGCTAAATTTGCGTTTTGGACCACTGTGGCGTCCATAGCTAATGTTATATTATTTGATTAATAGCGTGACATGGCACATTCGGGGGGAAAAAGAAATAACCACAATATTTATATAATCGTAATTAAAGTAGGTATTTTTTTTTTTAACAAAACTACCACAGTGTCTACGGCCTACGATAAAAAATATATAGACTAGTATTATATAATAACAAGTAACAATCATAAACAATAGAATAATAAGTTTCTCAGGGACAAAATCGAAAGATGAGTACAGATTTTTGGGTCGCAATTTTTGGCTGTTTGTTCCTATCATTCTTGGAACTAGTAAATATGTAAATATACGTACAAAGTGAAACTATTATAATTTGGTATCAACCTAATATTTATTGAGCGACAACTAGAACGCAATAGGTACATCATATTCATATACTAGTAGACATTTGTTTGTCTCAGTACAGATATGAAGCTTAAACATAGGAACATTTTAATTATTTCGAATACATTAATAGTTGTACATTTACTATTGTATGGTCGTGAGATACAATTACCTTGTCCTTTGTATCATCATAAAGTTGCCATATATTAATAGGGTGTCTATATGTGTGAGCATGGTAATGTCCAACATTAATAAATGGATTTGTAGTTTGCTGTTCATTAGGTGTTGTTATGGCGCGTCGTAAATAAAATTCAATTTCGCTTGCTTTAAATACTTTCGGAATATGGTTCAAAATTTTAGTTTTGTGTCGGTAAATTCTTCGGTGGTTGTATTATTTAAACTTATTTTTTTTTTTTTTATTGAAATATTAGTACAAACTATTTATTTCTACAATTATATGCTAATAAATGTACGAATTGATGCTAAAAATTAATGTGTACAAACTGGACGATATTTACAAAGACGAGCAACTTAAAAAACAATTATTTACAGAAATTACAAGGCAAAGCCGGCGGACTCAACAACGAAGAGAAGAACGGATTTAATGATGGGAATGACTGAGGAATTGAAAATTGAATAAGTATCAAAATGGTTGATATTGTAGAATGATAGGGTGGTGAAGAGAGGAGTGCGAAGTTGAGACAAAGCAGGACATCATAGCAGACGGGGAAGTCGCAAGGAAATTCATCGTCGTGACGAGGACAGAATGGGGAATCGTTAAGGGAGAGTTTAAAGGCGTGGTATGTGAGTAGATTGTGACCGGATCTTAAGCGGGAAAAGGAGATTATTTCTCTCCTAGACAAAGGGAGGAAATAAAACCACGGGAGTTTGTTGGGCGAGGAAGTGATGGTTTTATAAAATTGGGCGTAATTAGGGGGAGAATTCTTCCATAGCGAGGACCAGGAGACACGCAGGGCCTTGCGTATGGGAGGAACGAAATCGGTCCATTTTTATATAGGTGGAATTTAAACTTATTATATTAAAAAATAACATCATCAAATGTTAATGATAATTCAATTATCCCAGAACACAGGTCTTCACACTTGTTGAATTATCACAAGAAAAGGCGCTGTCTTGTTTTTCATTGTTTAATAAAAAATTATGTCATAACTTGCGTGTAACTTCTTTATTTAAAATATTAAGTTTAAACAATAATAAAGTCACTTAGACTTAATATATGTTGTTCGATGTACTAACAATATATTAAAACAGTTACATCATTAAATATAATAAGAAGAACCGTAGATTTCTCAAGGACTACCCACTCATGCTCATTAATATAATTTATTTAATTTTGGTTTAAGATGGCCAATGTTGCAACAATTGAATCATTAACACATCATACGTAGAGTTCCAACGCATTGGACAATCTTGTTATAATTGAACTGTTTTTGTAACTCCTGCAATATTTTTAATTTTGGTTGTAATTGAATAAATGTTGTCTAACCCAGAATATACAAATTAATTTATTGATTGCGCAAAACATGATAAATGCCTCCATTTGCATTTCTCAATAGCGGATTTCATGTTATTTGCATTTTCTGTAACTGCAGCAGACATGCGGTCAACCAATCCCCAATCCCTATTCGTTTACAATATCATTTAGAAATGATGAAATATTATCGGATGTATAGTCCATTGGAAATGCATTACTACCTAACAAAACTGCTGATAGTTCATTATCTTTTAAAGGGGCTAATAAAGTGAGTATTATTATAAAAATGTCGAAAATACATTTTAAGGTGTATAAAATATTGGTAAATAAAATTACTCGAAACACAAACATTATGCTATAAAAATTTCTGTAGCCTGTAGCTCATTTAGTTTTAAACATTATATTTTTGTTTTAGAATCAATTTTTTTATGATTTTATTTTACAATGTTTAAAATTAATATTTGCTTTTGAACGTATTTTATTTTATCTTTTAAACTTTTAATGGTTACATATTAGATGTTACTCCGTTCTTATTTGAATGTGTTAGATTGAAAAAAATATAATAAATAGACAATATTCATCCCTGTAAAAGTTAAATTTTCGTCGTAATAAAAAGGCTAATATGTGTACAAAAAAAAAAACAATTTTTTATTAATTAATTACCATAGAATTTAATATAATAATATTTGTTGTTACAGATAAGATTAATATTATTATTATTCAATTATTGTTATTTGGTAATAAGCAAAAATAACGTACAAGTTATAAAGAAACGCTATTTTATTATTATTTACTTTTATATATATTTGTTTTTCTTGTTCGTAAAAGTTTGCAGTCTATTTATTTATAATAATAATAATAATACTACAAAACAAAAAGCCGTTTTTTTTTTTAACATTTTGACCAATTTTACTTTTGGGCGGTTTTCTTGATTACATAACTCGAACGAGTGGCGCCGCCGTGTCCGTATTTTGCATATGCCGAGTTCAAAGCTTGCAAAATAGGTCCCACGTACTCGATTGACCTGGAAACAAATAAGTGAATACATAAAAACGTTTAACTCCTTACCGATGATAGGATTGATGATAATTTGCAAAAAGGAATTTTCAATTTTAAGTAGAAAAAAATTTACATTAGGCGTTTTTTCATTGTTTTAGGCTATTTTCAAAAATTTGAAGCGTGCCATTATTTGTAATTATATAAGGTGATTTGTAGGTGTTTTTCATGATTTTTAGGAGAAAGGGATACTTTTTTTCAACAAATAAAATAATACTAATTGAATTAACATTCATCATATGAACTGGAAATTGAAATTTTGCGAAGACTAAAATATTGTAGTATTAAACATAAAAAATAAAAATGTATATATATTAGTTTATAATAATTAAACGAACGAAAATCCCAAATTACAGGATGTAATGTATATTATAAAGAAAAAATTACAATTGCTCAACAATAAAGTTCAGTAATTAGATATACCAGAAGAAGAGGAGGTGTCTAAAGTGACCTGTCTCGTATCTGTATTACACAAAGTAACGGAGAATATTACGGCGGGTAGGACGAGCAGGAACATTAAAATTATTATTATAATATTATCAATGATGTTAGTATATCAATATTGTATCGAACAAAAATATAATTTTCTCGAGTATTCAAGCAATAAGTTAGTAAGTCAAGTGTATTCATGCCAAAATGTTTATTAAGGAAACGCGTGATCACCTCTTCTGGTAGGGCGAGTACAGCGAGGCGGAGGCGTAGTCCGAGTACCCGTCGCTGTTGAAGGATTGAGCGGCAACCACGTCGCAGGTGTTGAAAATCTGACAGAGCCTGTAACCGAACAGTGGACCGATCACTGCGGCGATAGCCAGCAGGACGACCACACCAACCGCCACTGCACCGCCTGTGACCGCGGCGCTTCCATAACCGTTCGGCACGACAGACCATTTGCTTGCATCGTCTTCAACATAACCGTAAACAGTTTATCATCAATATTAATTAAGATCAATTGAACATAGACACATAACCAGTCGATATCATACAAAATAATAGACTTTTTTTAATTATTCTTTTACATCATTTTAAAGTTACCACAAGTTTGACATAATTTTCCACAACATAACCCCATGTCTTGTGTGTTAGTATCTTAAGAACCTGGAGTTTTTGAAATTCTAATGTATATTATTTTATTAACTTCTTAAAATGTTGATCGGTCGATAACCAGTGCAGAGTTATTATTACCTACTTTTATAGTTATTAAAGTAGAAAAGTAGCGACGGGAGGGAAAGTGCGGTTGAGTAAGGCGTACGTATAAAAATAAAAATACACTCCATCTTTTCTAAAAGCTTAAAAACAATTATCTAAGACCACTGATAACGACTGATTATCGACCAGTCGAAAATTTCAGAAAGTTTTTCTCAATAATTAAAAAGTTAAAAAATATCTAACGTTACCACTTAAAAAGTTTCATGAGTTCATTTGATTTTAATTTATTAATTATTATATTGTATTGTATCTTAAAAAAAAAATATATATATAAAATATGACCTGAAAAAATTCTTTCCTGTATTCCTGCTCACAAAAAATTGTTCTTAATATTATATTCTGATACTGAAAAAACAATATTAAATTTACTAGAAAACAACTTCCGGTTATTAGTGATTATACAGAACAAACTGTACTTAGATGCCCTACTAAAAATCGATAAAGAACAAATCATAGTAGCTAAGTGGCAAATTACTTGCATAACTGTATCAGGTTACAAAAAATAATATTAAAAATATATTCCCGGTTATTTATTTTTGAGACTACAGTAAATTGCTTTAAGTGCACAAATATAGAATATTTACTAAAAATGAAAATTTTAAAATGAAGATTATCTTCTTTTGAGTTGTGGCTAATATTTTATTGGTATTTGATGATTGGCTGGTAAATAATTTAATAAGAGAACTTCCGAAATAAACATATCTACATTATGTTATTACTTTAGTATTTGAATATTTGAAATACTCAAAATGTAAGTACGAAATATGTACATGTTTGTCCTACGCCCAAAATAAATAACAGTATGATATTATTATAAACTTACTGTCGCTTAGGACATTCTTTTTCACTATGCTTGTTACACGATCAATGGCAGACGTTGAAGGACTTGGAGTGACTACTTTGATATCTTCGGCGCAGGCGAGCAGAGCTAAGGTGGCCAAGAAAGTGCAGACTAAGAAGGAATTCATGATTTTGGTAGATGATGAATTGCTGTTAAACAAAATTTTAGTCTAACCATTATACAATTATAATATAGTTCTTATTGCAACCAAAAAAAAAAGTAAATAAAATAAAAAGGTTTGTACATTTTTATTAACTATTTGAATTTGAATATTAGAATACTTGACAAAAAATGTGATTTCTTTTAACCGTTTTTATAAAAAAAAAAGTATCACTAAAAACAATTATTTGCTTAACTATTTTACTGCAATAATTTATTTTCATTACAAATTATTCAATTTTTGAAAATTCCACTAGCTGTGAAATATTAAAAAATTTTTTTAATGGAACATTTGTAATTGAGCACTTGAACTGAACTGCCTTAGAACATAGACCGATTGAACCGTATTTTAGACAAATCCATTAAAAAAATACTCTTACCAAATAATTGAAATTTTAATGTTTTTCACGTCATTAGTAACTGAAAATGTTACCAATCCAAAACTTACGTTTATTTGTTATAACTTGAATACGATTATTTTCAAGAACTTTATCTTCGACGTAGAAACTATTATGCTTTGAAGAAGTTGAATAAAAATAATTAAATATCAAATTTATAGATAATTTTTTTCTGTGTTACTATAGTATACGAATTTTGGCTTAATAGTAAAATTCAATGAAATATTGCCATACAATATGCCCTAATAAATACTAGTTCTACACTACCGCCTTTATAACATTATAACTCGGTCATTCTTTTAGTATAATTTATAAAAATAATTTTTAGTATAGAAACTCATTTAAATTTAATTTTAAAAATAAAAATAAATGTTGTTATAATATAGCTTAAAAACTAATTTTTTTGAAAACAATTTGAAAAATTAACTAAATTTTAATTTTTTTCTCAAAAAATAATATTTTTTCATTGTGTTTGAGATTCTGGCGAAAACAAAACTTAACTACTAGACATTTAACTAATAATTTCAGATTAAATAATGACTAGTAGTTTGACAATCGATTTTAAAATGATTTAATGAAAAATAGCTAAGTGTAAAAGAAAAATTAAAAAAAAGACAAACCTATTGAATAATATCGTTCAGTCCATAAAAAAACATTTAGAATTATTATTATTATTATTTTTACAGAACCTAATTAGAAAGAATGAACCATTTTTATTAAAATATTGAATAAAGAATTGAAACTAGTTCCTTTTATTTCACAGAACCCATGAAGAGAAGTAATGCTTTAAAAACGGACTATTCAAGGCTAAAAATGTGAAATAGTAGTTAAAAAATAATATTGTTGAGAATAGTAGTAACTATGAATTAAATAAAAAAATTACTCCATGAAAAATATAAACTAATTTACACTAACTTCGATGAAAAAAGTACAAAAATATTTTAAGCTTCATACAAACATAAAAATATTGTTTTGGGGTAATTTTGTACACATAAATAGTGACTTATAATATTTATAATTTTTTTATTTGAGCTATAATTATTTTAAAAAAATACTTAACTAGGTTATTTTCTTATTTTTAATCTCAAAACCTAGCTAGATCAATTCTGAATTAACTTATTTAATTACTTTTTTAAACTAATTAATTAATTTAAAATCAATCAGTTATTTGCTGCCTTTTCGTTTATAGTTTTGTAAGTTAAGTAGAAAATAATCACGAAGCGGATAATAAAAAAAAAACAAAATTACTTACCAGGAACTTCAGCGGTAGTTGTTGTGCCTTCAAACTGCGCTTACTTAGTGTGCTAACAGGATTGTCATGTAGCCCTTATATGTATGATAGCTGTAAGGGTAGGACGTGACCGGTTGTTTGCATTATCGCCGAAAACACCCTCTCGTAATGGGTTGACCTGTACTAATATGGCCGAAAACATCATGTTTAGTGACGATTGTATTAACCCTTACTGTATATAAAATCACAGGTATAATATTATGCATTTTCTTGCATATATACACAGATGCTAAAAATTAATTACCGAGCGAGCAAAGTGAGCCAATGCCAAAATATTCAGTTAAGACAATATTAATTGTTTATTACTGTAATTATTATTAAAATAGAAGTATTAATTAGTTATTAAAAAATAATATCCTCATCTGATGTTTCTGCTAAATCATCATCGCTCACGGTATCCAAGATACCACCCGGTCCGTCGTTTTCGTTGTTATCCGGATTATAGAGTACACCGGCATACTTAAAAAATCGATCATAGGGTCGATACTAAATGACCGGCATTTTTTCATGTACATATATTTTTCCAATAAACCCGGAAAAAATTGTTTTCGACGATTATAGCCGGGCATAGTCGATTTTTGTTTATGTTCCAAAACAAATCAAATTTTGTTGTTTTGGATGATATGTCTTTAGTATGTACCAAAAAACAAAACAATAATTAGGTATAAGATAGTAAAGCCGTAACCTCTACTTAATTATTAAGTACTCAATATCTATGAAAAATAAAAGTAGAATAATTTAATTACAATACTAATTTTAGTTTTTTAACTATAAGACCTTGAGCCGAATATGTATTGTAGTGTATCGTATACCTAAATTATTTACATTTGAAATGTGTACATTTACTGCTAAATCCAGTATTGCAATGCTTTGGTTTAGCCATCCATATATTTTTTGTATTGTACGGACTATATCATTTTATTTAATACATTATTATTTTGTTTATTTAGGTAAAGCACTTGGGTGACATCATAAAATTCCATAAGTGGTCGAATACTACTGCTGTCTAGACGATGGCGAATATTGATAGTGTTTACCGGTGTATCGGATGGACTGCAGCTGAATGATTTGGTGTATAGGTATAGTTGTTTTAAGAAAACTAACGTAATTATCGTTTAAAAATGTAATTTCAAATCCCTCGGTATATGTATGTGAAGGTTAATAAAAAACACCGTAAAGATTATTGTATTGAGATAAAAAAAAACACAACGATAACGTTATAACTATAATAACCGAACTAAAACTGAAAAAATGATATTATAATAATTAGACTAACAAAGATTGAATATTCTGAAAGAAGGTTCTATTTTTACACATAACCACTATGCATATGTAAGTCTTATTTCTACACGCCAAATCACATGACATTAAACATAACGTAAACATAATTGTTGTTAAAAATTAAATAAAACAAATAACATCAATAAAGTTGTTTTAACGAACATGATAATTTAGTACACGAATATCACATTATACCGTCTTTTCAATGATTGTATAAAAACCGACTTTTTCGAGGGAAATTCATTGAGGTCTATGGACAATAATGTTTTAACCTTCTTTCCATAAATTACCAACCGGCAACCACACAATAACTAGACACACTGTCAAAATATTTTTACAAACAGAAAATAATAAAAACTTTTTACTTTCTTTATACTTGTATGTCTTAATAAAAACCTAAGCAAATAAACATTTTTGATTTTTAATAAAAAAAACTAAAAACATGTTCTTCTTTGTTTTGTTGTTTTTAGGTCGTCAAAGAACTCTTGGATGTTACTTATATTTTTTATCCGTGGTTTGATGTGTAATAATATGTCCTTGAATAATATGTGTTTTTGTGATTAATACAATTATCCGACTAGCAAGTCGATCAAGTTCTATTAAAGAAGGACACTCGATTAACATATTTTCAACTAAATTGACTACGGCGAGTCACACACAGCCAACGTAGTATCATATTGCAAATTTTGCAATGATGGTTTCATTAAATGTAATATAAGGTTAGGCTGGTTGGTATACGTCGAAGATGATACCCCGTGCTGTACTGTTTTGGAGATAAATCTAAGAAAAACACGTTTATCTTTATTATTTACTTCAATCAGGGCCGGCGCTAAGAAATATTTAAGGAGGGGTGTCAAAATGGAGATGTCGACTTTAAAATTTAAATTGCTGACAACAAGTCACAACTTTTTTACTAGAATTAATGGGAATTAGGAAATGTTGAAAAAAAGATTTTACTAAAAATGTAGTAATTAATATTGTTCAAGTATTATTTTTTAAACTATAAATTAATACAAACAAATTTAAATAGTTCAACAGTAAAAAATTAAACTTTAATACGGCGTTCTTTTAATGTGAACTGTTTCTTTATTATTTCTTCCAAATCAATTATACCGACAATATCTCTGGCAGAATTAAAAATCATGAGGTCGTTTAGTCTATTAGCCGTCATACGAACGTTCATTAGATGCCGTCGTTACAGGAGACGTATAAGCCAATCGACAAAAATAATTAGCCAAAGGTATAAGACATTTTAATGATTCAGAAATATGCATTAGTTTTTTATATATTATTAATACATTATTTTATTGTAATCACTAAAAATAATTTAAAATACATAAATCGAATTATATATGAATATTTAAAAACAATTATACATCAACATTTATGATAGGGGTTTTGTTCAAAATGTAGGTAATTCTTATGAGAAAAGAAACTGTTTACTGAAAAAAAATATATAAAAAGTATTTTCTAATTCAGATGCATTATACTTTTATAAATTTGTTAATAACGGCACCACAGTATTAAATACAAACAAAATAGATACTGCACTTCAGTAAATATTCTTCAAGGATCTATAATTGTTTTATTAAAATAGGTCATTGCATAAAAATTAAAAATGTAAACACAATTATAATTAGCAATTATATTATTAGTTTATTATTATAATTTTATTATCATCAATAATTTAAAATAAACCATTCAATTATTTAAATAAATAAATAATTTAAAGTCGGTATTTTATTTTGTACGTCTTAAGCTTTAAAAACATAATAATTAGGACAGAAATATTCATTGAAGAAAAAAATACATGGTTAAACACAGATATACCTATATATAATAAACTAGATTGCCAACTGTACATTTCACCGGGATGCAGGCCATCAAAAAATATATATTTTCCTATCTAACGTGTACTAAAAAGCTGTTTTTTAAACCAATAAAGATAGTGTTATACAAGTCTACAAGAACAATATAATGCATGAATTTTATGTATTTTTTTGTCCATAAAACGATGGTGTAGTCATAATACTGCTGTTACGCATAATTTTTTCATTATAACGGTTAAGAAAATACCGATTAAAAAAAAAATGTAATTGGCTAAAACCGTGGTAATTAATACCACATTATTCATAAACGGTATTATATAAGAACGGAATTGTTTTGTCCTAAAAACGATATTATGATTATAATATTTATAAAATGGAAAAATAAAATATATGATATAATAGTATAAACACTCAGGTTAACTAACCCCGTTTACAGCTTTTGGTAACCAATACTTTTTTTTTTATATTTTCAAGTAAACTATACATTTTATTTTAATTAATTCGAATTCTTTTTTCAGATGGGATATTTATAAAAATTATTTTTTAAAAAAAACGTAATACATTATGAAAGGTTTATGAATAATGTGGTAATTATTACCATGGTTTTAGCTAATTACATTTTTTTTAATCGGTATTTTCTTAACCGTTATAATGAAAAAACTATGCGTAACAGAAGTATTATGACTACACCATCGTTTTAAGGGCAAAAAAAATACATCATATTCATGTATTATATTGTTCTTGTAGATTTGTATAATACTATCTTTATTGGTTTAAAAAACAGCTTTTTAGTACACGTTTTATTGTTTAACTATCGGTTCGATTTCTTACATCTTTAAAATTTACCTGATAGTAAGTTGACAACTAAAATTTATTAATGTGATAACTGATCATTTTTAGCATGGAACTTAATTTTTAATAATTACACATGATTATTAGTGAGACAGGCCTATGGCCACTCTAGAATATTACCTTAACAGCTGCGTAGAAAAAATACCTGTTAACATTTTAAAATACATTTATTAATACTATTGGTTTTGAAATAAATCATTAAGTTGTGACGATATAATTTGTATTGATATACAATTTTATAAATCGGTATGATAGCGGCTTCTTTGTCTATTATATTTAAAAATGTCATCGCATGCGATATTGCAGGTCTACGCGGATAACGTGTAGGTCTAAGTTATCAAACGGAACAATTTATGTCATCGTGATTGTTAAAATTAAATCTACAAACAATGCGTTAGTTTTTCTGCATATTTATGTAATGTATGTATATAGTTTAATTAATTACCTATAGATATTCTTGTTGTACAATATTTATAATTTAAATTTGAATACTCTAAAAGAATATCATTGGGTCTCAGCTAAATTAAATAATGACAAATAAATAATTATAATTTTGTTTTTAGATTATAATGATTTAATTATTGAAGAAACAGTAGATGGTGAGAACAAAATCAATGAACTATCGAATATTGCTTCAAAGCCTAGTAATATTTTTAATTATTCTAAGTATAGGAAGTGTAAAAAACATATATTATAATGTTAATATTGATATATTATAGCGGTCAATGAGAATGAAGATATTGAACAACCATTGATGATTTCTCCTAAAATAGTAATTATATTTTCAAAAAAATAAAATGTTGAATAAAACAATAATTTACTTAAATGTTGAAATTATTATATTACAGCTACAAATGAGAATTCCTGAAAAACCATCAACTTCATATGTCACTCATAAACCATCTACTACATACGTCACTCATAAACCAATTTATTGTCTATTTAGCACTTACCTATACTTACAAACTATAATCCATAATGTTAAAAATATGTAAGGGAATTTAGAAATAGTAAATTATTATTTACAATCAAAATTATATATTATAAGATGTCTTATTTATTTTGCAAAACAAGCAAAAGTGTAAAAATTTAGGACAATAAACCATGCATCACCTCAAATTTTAAATTGTACATCTAAAAAGAAATATAACCACTGCGGGAAAATTAAGTGAAAGCAGCTCAGCTGCCATTCGTCTTGGTGATATTGCAGAGAGAAAATGCAAAATAAAAGAGAATTATTATAACAAAAAAATTAAACTTTTGGATGAGAAAAATGACATACTGAGAAATTTAGGACCATCACTCTCTAAATTTATAAATGAAAAGTCAATACCAAATAACTACTTAAGAGACTGAATTACTTAAAATAATTATTTTGTTACTACAAAATTAGGTATAAATATATACTAATTTTCTACTATTCGTTTTTAAGTCAGTTTTTTAATTTGTAAGTCATTTCTAGTACTGAATGTTGTTTTATTGAACTTATTTATTTTATATTAACCAAATGTTATTCACTTATACTATTATATAAACAAAAAAGTATACTACTACTAGTTATAAAAGTTCCATCTTATTACCCATGGACTTTTATTTTATACTTATTATTTACCATATGTTGTTACTACTTAAGTAATACAATTTATTTTGTTGATTATTTTTTGTTTTAGTCATAATTTAATAAAGAGGAAAAATATACAAACCCATGGATTTTTATTTTAATAATATAAATAATGTACAAAAACTTATAAATAAATAAATAAATATATATATACATATATAACTCATACCAACTATTTATACACCATTTCTTTGAAATAAATATCTAACAACTTTATTTATCTGTTGTCTCCCCAGATTTAAATCTATGTTTCCATTATTTATATTATCAGCTAAAATGTCTTCAATAATACCCAAATTGTCAAATTTTTCAATGTTATTTTCATGCATAGGAATGTTGTAAGTGATACACATATTATGTAGAACAACACATGCATTTATTATGGCTGTTGTTTTCTCAGGTTTGTAGTGCAATGTTCTATCTTTTATTAAACACCTGATAAAAATTATTTTTATATGGATATACATGTACTTATATGTTATTATTAGTTAAAAATTAAATTGCCGAGAGATCTTACCTAAACCGCATTTTTAGCACACCATTACAGCGTTCTATAAAGCTCCTAGTTGACATTTGTTTATAGTTATAATATTCTTCGGAATCTGTAGCAGGATTAGCTATAAGTGTTAATAGCCATGGACGCAGAGGATATCCAGAATCTCCTAGTTTTTTTGTAAAACATGTTACATTAATAAAGGTACAACAGATTTAAAGATAAAGCAAAATAAAATATATTTTATGTATTTATATATCTTTTAAGATGTTAAAAGAGTAGTTATGTTATTTTACCTAATAAATAAAAATTATTATAATTTCGTCTGTGAAGTTCTTGTAGTAATGGCAAAACAAAACTATTATTCCATACGTGAGTATCATGAGTACTGCCAGGGAATAATGCGTTAACATTCAATATTTTCAATTTTGAGTCGGAAATCTAAAGTTGAAAGTGTTTATATTAATTGTAATTTACATTACATAAAGTATTAGCCTTATAATTAGTATTAGGGCAGAGACAATTTTAAATACATCATTGAAATTAAGATTTGAAAGCTTACCAATTGAACATTGATTACATTATATCCTTTACGATTCACATATATATATACTCAGGGTTTTGGTTTTCATTTAAATTCAAATTGGTAGAAGGAGGTACGATTGCCACATGAGTACAATCAATGCAACCAATAACGCCTGGAAACCCAGTTTCTCTGTAAAACCTTGATTATTTAAAATATTAAAAAATTATTAGAAATTTCTAATTAATAAATAGGTAATTAAAAACAATGATTTACTCATTACGGATTTCGGTGAGCTCATTTATATTTTGCGGAAACTTAACCCAATCATTGAATATTTCCGGCTTGTTTAGTGCAGCCACAACCTCACTTATGCAACGGGATACTGAAGGTTGTGACAAAGCTGTAAATTTACTGTTATCAAGAGGCGACTGATATGACCCAGTAGCCAAAAAATTCAATTATAAAAATCTGAACAAAAAAGACAATGTGTTTATTAATAGTTAATAATATATTAAATAACAAACAAAAATAGTCAACTAAATGCCAAAGAGGATATTATACTTACTTTTGTATTCAAATCAATCGCGGACGAACGACTGTTAGTAACTATATGAGGTCTTAATAGCTCAATCAAATATTTAACAATGCCTTTAGTAAGTCTAAAGTTTGTAACAAATAGTCTGTCTGACAATAAAAATGGATTCGAAATAATTTCTCGTCTTTGGATTTGCCTAATATTTATATTATTTTCGTGATTTTCAACGTCATTAATACCAAATAACATAGCCATTTCATCAAAATTAGCCATTGTAGTTAGTACATAGTATTAATATAACACAGGGTTATGTAAATACTAAAAATGTATACGAGAAAATAACACACTTTGCATTGATTAAAAATCATAGTTTAATATATTATTTTATTATCAACAGCAATATCAACTGTTTCATATCAAATTTCATAAATTATCATGCGATAAAGGTTTGTCACCGACAAAGTCGGTGACAAACCAACAAGTCAACAAATAGTCGAAGGTATTTTATTCGACTAAATTTTGTCACTTTTCAAGAATAGCTTTTTTTAATTCGTGCGACAAACGTGTTTATCGCATACGACAAACAGTAGAATGATTTCAAGAATAGGCCCCCTGGACTTATAATACTAAAAATTGCGAATTTAATTTATTTAATTACATGAAACTAAAGTGTTTCAATGAAAATCGGTTTCTTACATAACATAGTAAAGTAGCCAAAGAGCTCAAATCTCTTTACAGAATTGAAATGGGACAATCCTAAGTAAAAAAAAGATGTCCGGTAAAGTGAATTTATACTAATACCTAAATGGTTTATTAAAATACGTCATTGTATAAAAATAAAAATTTGAACACAATTTTATTAGAATTTTTTATATTAGTTTTAAGCGGGTCTCATCAATATTTTACAATAAACCATTCAATTATTAAAATAAATAAATAATTTAAAGTCGGTAATAATTTGTCTTGTATAAGTTTAAAAAGATAATAATTCTGTGGTGTTCGGGCAAAGGGGGATAAGTGTAAAATCGCAACTTTTGGAGTCACTGAAACTAAATCACTTCAGTTACATTTAATCCCATTAAAATATTCTTTACGTTTGGGCATAACAGGATAAGTCATAGGATGATATTTTAATTTTAGTATTCACGCGTGAAAAATGGGATTATATAATCTATAAACCTTGATTAAATGTTACTAAAGTGATTTAGTTTCAGTGATTCCAAAAGTTGCGATTTTACACTTATCCCCCTTTGCCCGAACACCACAGAATTATTATCTTTTTAAACTTATACAAGATTGGACAGGGACTCTGGGACAGAAATATTCATGGAAGTAAAAATACATGGTTAAAATGACATGACGGTGTTTTGCGGGCAGCGTCTGTTGAACGCAACGGCTCATGAGCGGTAACGGAATAACAGATAACAGAATCATATTTTTACGTGTAGGAAATAATTTTTTTGTTCGCAGTCATTTTTCACAGACCAAAGACGAATGCCGTTTACGGTTCACCGTAACAAAGTAGTCGCCTTGCTTTTTCTGCATAGCTGTATTGTCATAAAACCGATTTCGACAAATCCGAGCAGTCGTCTTATAATAATAATTACGACTTTTACATTACATCCATTAATTTGTACTTAATATGATTAACTATCGGCTCGACTTTTTACATTATTGAAAATCATTATAATCGTCGACCAACAGATACATCCGTTTAGTATACTTTCATAACGCGCTTACGAGGTCGACCGTTTTTTTTTTCGATAACAGTGAATTTGTGGTTACTAGTACTATGTATATTAGGCACATAGTTTGATGAGAAAAATCATTTGGTCGTTTACCAAAATTGTGTATATACAAACATTAAACTGTACTTGAGAGTAATATTGTGTACTACCTTTTTATTTTGTTAAAATAAAGACATTTACAATTTGTATACAAAATAATAATACAATAAGTAAATTGACTGAATATAAAAACTAAATATGCCTACGTGTAGGAAGGGAGTGTCCATGAACACTACTTCCAAATGTGAATTTAAAGGCTTAGTTTAAGAGTTATTACTGTTAATGTAACATGTAATTGGTATGATATAATTAAAGTGACCAGATCAAAATTCTATAAAAGGTATCCCTCCTCATAAAATAGTACTCGTAGGATTTAATCTCCCTTAATAATTGGTTTTGGGTACACCTTTATTTCTTCATGCTAAAATTAGACAGTGCAAAAAAAAATCATAATCAAATTAGGATAAAAATCAAAATTTAAATCAATTTTTCATTGAACATAAAATATTTATTTTATTTATACCTTAATAAAATTAAGTATATTATATACTTAACAAAAAAATTATAAAAACTAAATGTAACTTTAAAAAACAAGTATTAAATATTATAACAAGTAAACTTATAATTATAATCAAAGTAGGATAAAAGCCAAATTTAAATATACTTAATACAAATTTATAAAATATTTAATACAGATAAAAAAATTATTAATACTTAGTATTTATCATTTGATGCAATAGATTTGAGCAATAAAGGAGATTTTTTATCAGTTGTAACCATAGATATATAAAGAAATTTTTATAGGTCTATGGTTGTAACCACTTGGGTTTTATTTCTAAAACCGTGGTTACCTATAGCCGATTGAGAGTCCAGATCATAACGTGATAAAAACCAATGTCTAGGTATCTATGATAATAAGTGATATCACAGTATAGATTATAGAAACTGTACAAAATAAACTGATGTGATCTGATGGAACACAAAATATACACACCATAAGTGAAAATAAGAAAAAATAACTATTGTTTGAAATCGGGACAAAAGCGGGACGTCGATTAAAAGTCGGTACATTTTACTATTTCGATTTGATCACCATATTTAGCGGGACAACTGCTTGAATATCGGTACTCTCCCGCCAAAATCGGGACGTCTGGTCACACTAGATATAATGTTTCAAATATTTGACAAAACGAAAGGCATACTTGTACAAAATTAAATTCCAGAATTAATCGGCTTGTAAACTTAAAGCGTAGTGCCGCATTGGAATTTATTATGGTTGACCAACCACTGTTAGTGTTTAATATAGTTATAATAAATATGTTAAAATAATAATGTATCAACTAATAACTTAATAATCTAGTTTATTTTATCTAAATTATGAACTATGAGTTTTGTGATTTTGCAATAAACATAAGTGCTAAAAACAATGCATAGTCTCTATTTTATTATTTATGTGCTTGTGAGGTACAGGAAAATCTTATAAGTCGATCAAGTTTTATTAAAGAAGGACACTCGATTAACATCTTTTCAACTACATTGACTACGGTTGAGTCAAGCACAGCCAACGTAGTAAGTATCATATTGCAAATATTGCAATGATGGTTTCATTAAATTTAATATTAGGTAAGCTGGTTGGTATACGTTGAAGATGAACCCTCTGCTGTACTGTTTTGGAGATAAATCTAAGAAAATCACGTTTATCTTTATTGTTTACTTCAGTCAGGGTGGGTGATGAGAAATATTCAAGGAGGGGTGTCAAAATGGAGATGTCGACTTTAAAATTTAATTTGCTTATTAAAATGTTATGGGTACTTTTATAAATATATTATACTTTATATCACAAGTCACTTTTTTATTAAAATTAATGGGAATTAATAATTGTTGAAAAAAAATTAATGAGAAATTTAGTAATTAAAATGTTTTGTTTATTATTTCTTAAACTTTATATATTAATACAAACAAATTTAGATAGTACAAGTAAAAAAAAACCAAACAAAAATTAAATTTTTATATGATGTTCTTGTAATGCGTACCATTTCTTTGTTATTTCTTCCAAATTAATTATATCGAGAATATGTAGCAGAGTTTAAAAAAATCAATAGGTCATTTAGTCTATTCGCTGTCATGGTTGTACGCATGCGTTTTTAATTTTTTTAACTCGCTAAACGAACGTTCATTAGATGTTGTCGTTAAAGGAGATATATAAGCCAATCGATAAAGATTAAAGACCTTAATAATTCAGAAATATGCATTACCTCATCTAGGGAATTATTGTTTTCAGTTTTATCACGGAAGTATATTTATTTGACATAATATAGCATCGTAATCGGTAACCATTGAAGAATGATAAGCGGGTGTAAATAATGCACAAGCTTTTTAATTATTTCAGTAGTAGTATCACATTTTATTGGCACATTTAGTATTTTAAATATTGGTTCAACTGTTTTAAAATAATCGCTTAAATTATTAGTAGTTTCATTAATTCAGCGTATCCAATAATACTTTAAATTCTTTCGATAGAATGTTTGTAAAATCTGCTTGCGTAGAAATATAATACTATCAATTATTTTGGCAACAGCCGTTTCCTATGAAATTTGTTAAAATCAGTAGGAGTATCAATGTCAAGGTTTTGAGCAGTATAGCATAGTTCAGCAGTAGTAATAATATTGTTTATTTGTATCATGTTCATTTATTAATACTTGTTTATTTATTTATACTTGTTTGGAAATCTTCCAAAGTGTTAGACTGTGGGATTTCTTTGGTTTTTTTGTATTCGGGCTGTGTATGGAATGAGAAGTTCCTTTCTTCTTAAATCTGGAGGGGGGGCTCTGCTGCTAGGTTTCTGAAGCTCTCAATTGGACTTGAGTGGAAGGCTCCGGTGGCTAATCTTAAACTTGTATTGATTGTACTTTCTAGTAATGTGAGGTGTCGTCACTTTTTTGTTTACATTGAAAGTGACCCTTCTGCTTTTATCTATTCTGTGATTTTACTTTGTAGTTTTATTATTTGCTTTGTGTTGGAGTACTATAAAGCCTAAAGCTAAGGCCCCAATGAGAGCGATTTCCGTTTTTGCGATAGCGTGTAGCGTGATGGCGATTTAACGATTTTATCAACAGTATAAAAATAAATATGTAGTGTTCCCACTGACCGCGTGTAGCGTTATACGACTTTAGCTACACGCGCGAGAATCGTTGAAAAAACAAAATTGTTTAATTTTCGGCGATTAATCGCTGTTAAAATGGCATCGGTTCTGTCAGAACAAATTGCTGCTGCTGTATACCTACAAGAACCCATATTTAATTGTAATGTATATAAACTTATTTTCCATGAGTATAATATATTATTCACTTAATTACATTTCTTTGTAAATCATACCTCAATGTAAGAAATAGCCTTTCTTCTACAGGTATTGCTTTTCGGAAGTTGGTGTCTGCTTTTTCAATTTTGCTCCTTATAGCTTCCAAAATTATAAAAAAAAGTGAGTTA